GCGTTGGTGGTGTCATCAACTGTATTATTGGAAAGTATTTGGATATCAACTTCCCGATTTGGATCTTCTTTAGATGATATTGAATCAAAAATATCGTATGTTTCTCCATCTGTACGTGATATTAAAGAAACGCCCAAAACACTTGTTGGTATATCAAGATCCGAACGTGTTTCACCGGTTTTATCATTGTAATAGTAGTAACGTTTTTCTTCCTGGTGCCAATTTCGTTGCCAGCTGCCTTCTGGGCGCGTGACTTGTGAAATAATTTGATCTTTTTCCATTGGTAAAATATTTTTAACAGACTTTTCATTGGATTTTTCCGTAGTAGAATCCTTATCGATAGAAGTAATAGGTAACGCATTAATTTCGGACAAAAAGTTTTTCAATGCTGCTTCGATGCTATCCTCAGATTGATCCATCTCGACCGAATTTTCAGAATTTAACAGAGAATTTGTTGGCAGGTGGGAATCTGATGTTGATTTCTGAATGTCCGATTGATTATTTGAAGAGTTGAAAGAATCGGATGGTGATTTCTCCTTTGATGGATTCTCTTTTTAAAAATATTAATTAGTCACTTCCTGTTCATGAATATCGAACTCAAGACTATATATACGCCCACCAACTCGCAGTTTTTGTTATCACAAACTATGCATCATGCCTGTTGTTAATAATATAGGTACTATATAACACTCGCAAGAGCTGCTTCGCCTACCAATCTGTGATCCTTCTTCATCGTTCTCATCATCACTTTCGCTATAATCTCCGAGAAGCTCTTGTAGCATGTTCTTCGATTCTTGACGTTTTTTAGCTTCATCGGTAGCTAAAAACAAACGATACTAAATTAGTTAAGGCCATTATATAAAAATCGAATTATATAAAGAAAATATGAAACCTTTGTTTTTAGCTCTGATTGATGATATTGGTTGGTCTAGCTGAAGCATTGGCCGTCTTCTTGAAATATCTCGTCGGTCCATAGTGCAAGGGACATGAATTTCGACTGCGAGCTAAGCAAACCAATCATCCCAAATACTATATGTAAATGAAAAATTTTAAGCCCAGTTCAGATTCGTAACAGTATCGTTTGAAATTTGGACGCTTTTATACCCGATTCAACAATGCTGACAGACATACGAGCATATTGTTTTGTTTTTGATTTTCGCACAAACTTACTGCATAAATTTGATTACTTTATT